AACTTGTTGGTTTCCCCTTTAACTCAACCTAGGAAACACAGCCCAAACCCAAGACACTCACTGTAAACCAGAGGGTTCAGAATTCAACCTGAGTACCGCACATCCAGACTGCTACTTCATTTCTTTACTTAAGCATTTCTTCTAACTAAATCTGGAACCAGCTGTTAAGTATTCCCATATTCTTATACACAAGCTGGCATGCATCCCTTAAAAATCACATTCTAAACACTAGATGTTTAACATCCAGTATAAGCCAAGACTGGTAAGTTCTGCTGCTTTTACCAGTGTTATCTCTATTTTAAGTTACCAATTCCTTGGTTATAACTACACAGGCACAACAAAATCAAATACAGACTGTATTATAGACAACTACATGATAATAAATTCACCTGTAAGCCTTTCTACTATCATTCCAGGATGAAACATAAAGCAGCTTCCTTGCACAAGAAGTCATGCAACAAGAAGCATTCAGCTAAAAACATGAGAAAATAAAGCAAGACAAGGTATTTTGGCTTAGTTGCAAGATTATACTTGTAACTTGAACATACAACGTAAAGCCCCATTACTGAAGTTTGAGGCAGATGAAACTTACAGTGGAAAAAAACCAACACACTTCCCTCAGACTTTTGGCCTGTTTAGAGAAGGTGAATGTGTCAGTTACCTGTAATACATCACTTAGACCTAGAACTGTAACTTATAAAATTTCATTCTACTTCCGTGTAAACACTAATAATCCAATTCCAGTGAACAGATACTCACGATGTGACCCAGCAGGATGTCACTAAAAGGAGTCTGAATTACCTCCCTGGACTAACAGGGCTCTGGTGTTACCCGATTTACAAGAAATGGGTCAGTATGCATAAAAGCCAATCAAATCATTTGAAGTCATCAGTTAAAAGTCAGCAACACAGCTCTCAGACAGTGGCAATTTAACAGCAGGCTCACCTCTGAATCAGCTACAAAGTACAGGAGGTGGCTGGGCTGCTGGTTTTCAGAGAGCAAGCAGGGATACTACTAGTCATTAAATAACTACTTTATCACTGATAAGATAGAGCTGAAAGTTCTTTCCCGAAGCCCTGTAACAAAGGCTAAGTAATACTTTGTTCTCTCCACTCTTCCAGAGAAGCATTCCTTTACAGGTAGGAAAGGATACAGATGAGTATTCGTTATTGTAAATAAGTCACAGGGAACAAAGCTACTGCTTGTAGAGTCAGGTTTCCAAATAACTTCATCATACTTAAACGTGCAAAAGTTCCCCTGGTCCCAGGATACAAGAAGATATGCTATACTGAACCAGATTCCCTCCTAAACAATGCAAGATACTCCAGAAAGCTCCACTGCAAGTATTTGGGAAGACCACATCAAGTCCTCAGTATTGTGAAATGAGACTTCCATTAGTACTTTTCCAAGCAACAGAAAGTTAGCTTTGAATTAAAGCCGTTTTCCCCTGCCCAGCAGAGTTCAGAAACCACCTGGCACTACCACTATCCTCCCATAATACCCAGAGCTGAGGAAAGTAAATTCCTACTTCTGGTAGAACTATTCTGTCTAAAGAGAAGCTTCACTTCGGGTCTGGGCTCCAGAGATCCCAATAATAAACTTGCACGCAATCACATATTAGCATTCCATGACTATCAGCAACACTCTACACAGGTTCTGCTACAACTTTCCTGTTCCCAGGCATTATCATTTGTTTGTAACAGAACTGGCATTTCAACAGATCATAAACACATTTACTTCGGTCCAAGTTTCTTCAATGGCACGTCGAAACAAATCCATAATCTTCAATGCTTCCAGAAACATTAGCCATCAGCAATGATTATGTAGCTGTGAAGCATACAAAGAACAACAACATCCCTGTATGCAGAAACAGAGACTACTTGTAACTCTGCAAATTCCAGAAAACAAAGGAACTTTGTTTGGCTCCCCAAACTAAGATTACTAATGTATGGAAAAGGCAGTACCATCAGGTACAGCTGTTTCCCCCTTTCTTCATCTAACATAGTACATTTGAGATATTATATGGCAAGACAAGCAATTCCAAAGAATAATATACTTCCCACTCTACCTCCATTAATACCTAGTCCATATCACCCTTCATAGTGGATATGATGCCCTGTACTGAACTGAACTCTAAGGGAACATGGTACTATGCCACCTTTAATAAACATAGTATCGGCTTATGGAGACAGGTGACAAGTCCATAGATCTGCCCACTATCTGACAGCTCTCTCTATCACAAGGGTCCCTGGACTAAAGAAAACTATACAGGTTTCTAGTTCTTACACTGTCTCTTCCAGTCCTCTGTACAAAAGCAACCAATCCGGAGACAAGCTCAGTCAGCTAGGTTCCTCCTGTACCTTTGCCCACAAGTAAGTGACTGTTCCCCTCTGGAAGGAAAAATAATTAGGTACTCCTGGTCAGGCAAAGCAAGTCCTAGCTCTGGGGTTACCCAAGCAGATCACAGGAACATGACAGTCCAGTCGGAAGAAAAAGCTGCAGTAATTATGGTAGTTGAGTATCCGGGGAAGCAGGCTGGTGTTAACTGACAGTGACTTGATTTTATTGGGGGAACAGACAGATGCACTACTACTGTGTGCACAGTCTGAAAGCACAAGGCCCCAACAGCATTGGCATAAGAAAATATCTGTGATGCCCTACAGAGGAACAGTAAGGACACCTAGACGGAGTGTTTTGGCTACTTGGACGGTCAAGCACTGTTCCACTCATTCACCTCAGGCATCCCTCCGCTCCTAAGACACCTTCCTCACTTTCCATCCAGAATGACAACGAACAAGTCACTCCTGATTTTCCAGGAAGCATCTACTCTTATCATTCTGTTGTGAAGTTATGCTGCCACCCCTGACATGCAGGTTCCTTCACAGAGGCATTTCAGACCTTCCCACCACAGGCCACACACAAAACTGCAGGTCACCTGACAAGGCTGGGACTGAGCAGCATCAGCCACTAATGCCCATCAGTAAAGATTTCAGAAACATTTAAGTTAATCTCACCTTGTAGCTTGGGATCCCAGTTACTGATGGGAAACAGTGTCCAGCCTTGCTTAACCACTAATTGACAGCCTATGTTTTGGTATAATTGCCAACTGCATCAGCTGACATTAAGCACACAAAATGCCATCTAGCATATTAAAAAGTTGATAAGAGAACAAGAATTTAAGAGGCTTGTTATTCTTTACTCCTTAACTTAAAGAAATTACAATCCACACTCAAAAAAAAAAACAAAAAAAAACCAGGAATAAAAGAGCCAAGGCTCTCAATGCATGGGTAGTTAGCTCCCAGCCAGCAGCAGGTTACTTGACACAAGTTTGTCCCACACCACAACTGAAAGCATGAAAACATTCTACCAGCATGCTTGAGAGGGAATGAGTTAACCTTCAGAAAGCTTCTTTTCGGCAAGCAAGAACTATACAGGTACAGTCTAGTTGGAGGTCTAGCTTCTCTCAGAGATATATCAAGGTCTACTTCTGGAATGTTAAGATGTAAAAAAAACAAACAAACACATAACAGCAAAGATTTCAAGTCAAGTTTGTTTTCATTCCCCTACTCTGCCACTCGAATTTTGCCTTCTTACATTAGGCATATAGGCTTCAGTCTTGTAAAGTCACTTTGTCATGTCAACCTCTTGTAAACCACAAAGCCACATCCCCTACAAGATCCTGTAGAGATCAACAAGACCCTTCCGCAATGGAACTTCTTTCACACTCCTGGTTGGAGGAGGATGTTGAGCTATAGAAGTACAGTTTCTCTTCGGTCCTGCCCAGCCCAGGGCACACTTCATCCCTATGTTGTTCAGTATGTCCTTCCAAAACCATTACAGAAAGGAGTGCTTGGAAGGTGCAAAGACTATCAGCTACCCACCTGGAGACCATGAGTCACCAATGAACAACCCAGCTTCTCTGGAAGGAGTTTCTTGCTTTCTGCTCAATCTCCAAGGAGGAGCAGAGGCTGCTACCACAGGACAGCCTCAGCACACACAAAGTGACCAACTCAGCAGCTTAAAGTGAGCTCTGTATAAACCCTGACTTCGTGCATTTCTAAGTCAGTTAGAGAAGAAAAAGATGACACTGAGGTGTACAAGATAGTTTGTTTCTCCAGTGGAAAGCACAGCATCTCACTGCCGCCTTGAACAACGAGGCAAACAAACTGACCGAGAAAGGGATTAAGGTGTTCCCATTCCACCCCAGAGCAACTTAGCAAAGGAATTCCAACTCGGAGCAGACAGAAGCGCGCACACGCCGATCAATAGCAGGCCTCATAGGGAGCTGCCACCTTCCGCAGTCAACACTTGCAGCAAGCCGCGCCAGGCACCGGTGACACTCGCAATGCTCCGCGCGGGCACGTGACTGCACGGCTACTCACACGCACCCGGCATTGCATAACAGGGCGCATCACGGCAGCCAGCATCCGGACAGCTGCCGCTTTCTGCGGCAGCAAGGCACAAAGCTCGCTCAGCCCGCACGGCTCGGCTTGCTTTCTGGGCCGCCGGGCCCCTAGGCCAGCCTCAGCCTCGCACCCGGCAGTGACACCGCGCAGCCCAGCCGCCGACGCCCCACGGCCCCTCCGGAGGCCTCACACCGCAAGCCCGAGCGCGGGCAGGCAGGAGCCCGGCTCCAGCTGAACCGGCGCTGTTCCCCCCCCCGCGCCCCCATACCTGTGCTGGGGATAGCAGCAACAGGAGGAGGAGAAAGACGAGCAGGCGGCAGGTGCCCGGCCCGGGGCTGCCTTGCGGGCCCCCCATGGCGACGCAGCAGCGGGCGACAGCGAAGAGAGACAGAGGGAGAGAAAGAGAGACGGCCGCGCAGGTCCGGAAGGGCAGCTCCCGCCAGGCCGGGCGGTGCTACAGTCCCGCCGGGGGCCGCTTCCAGCCCGCCGTGGGGCCGCACCCGTTCGTCTCCGCCAACCGCCGCCGCCCGCGGCCCGCCCCTCCCCGGCGGCGGGCGGGGCCGCGCCTCACGCCGCGGCCGGGCCGCCCCTCACGCTGCCATATGAACCGAGTCGGTCGCCGGTCTCCTCCTGGCGGCCTCCGAGCGCTCGGTCCCGCGGCCTGGTGCTGCTCGTGACCTCTTGAGTTACGCCTCGCGGCTTCCCTATGGTGCCAACTGCTCTGAAAACGCCCCGAACGATGGCAGTGCTTGCTGGAGCATCGAGATGAGGCAAGCTGCTGGGTTTCGCCAGTGGCTCAAGCCTGCAGTCATTGCCTCAACGATAGTGGTACGACCACGAAAGTACCGCGCTGCCCTGTTGCAATGGCCGCCTGATAGTCGTGTCCTGAGCAAGCCAAGTCCTAGAGATGGAAGTAAACTTGCTGTTAGGGGAACTCGTAACTACTTATTTTAGTTGGGTCTCATGATCTGCCTGAGTCTCGTGGCCTGCCTTTGCTGCATCTTTGCACACGGGTAAAGGTTTAGTGACAGCTGCATGCAGTGGTTTGCTGTCTTCAGAGCAAAGTTGTGCCTCCTCAGAAGGAGAGGGATGTGGGTTCTACCAGCAGTATGTTTGCTATTTTCTTATAAGCATGAAAGTACTAATCACATGGCTCGCAGTTGTATTTTTACCGTAACAGCATAGGCAAAGGCTTCTTTTTTTGGCTTTAAAGTTGTTAGCTTACAGCCCCATGTGCCACAGCAGTACAGCTGCAATAAAAATAATGCCCAAGCGAGGCAGCTCGGGTTGCACGGCAGAAATCAGCTCTTGGTGTTGATTTCACAGGGACTTTGCTGCCTGTGGGTTTGCTTGCAGGAGTCTGTTTGCTGCGCCGATCCACTGACATCAGATGGCCTGACCAATGTTGCAATCACTGGGTGTAAGGAGATTCCACTCTGCTGATCTGTTTGGGATCTGCCTCAAAGGAAACGCAACAAACAGGTGTGGCACATTCACCCCAGCTTCTTGCTGATTCCCCCTTTACTTTTTTTGCCTTTGTTGCTCCTTAGTGCACATTATACTTATGGAATAAAATCTGTAATTTAAATGCTATTGCCATCTTCTGACAAAAATGCAGGTTGTCCTTGGTATCGTATATTTAAGGGCTAATTAATGTTGGCAGGGACCACTGTAGTTCAGCTTTCTGTTGAAAGCAGAGCGCATTTAGGTCAGGTTGCAAAGGGAATTTTCCACTTGTATTTTAATTGTTTCAAAGATGGAGAATTCACAGCCTCTCTGAGCAAACTGTTCCACCGTGTGACTGCACAGATAGTAAAATGTTCTGTCCTGCAGCTAAGGAGGTTTACCCATGTTCCAGCTTGAGTCTGTCTAGACTGTCACACACAGCAGAGTGTGACTCCAGCTTCCCTGCATCTTCCCATTTTGTGGTCATGGAGAGCAGTAACGTGTCCCCTGAGCCAGGCTGAAAAATCACAGTTATTTCAGCCATCGTGCTGGCATTAAACTTGACTTGCCCTTGGTCATCAGTGTCTTTTTATTACAGGGAGCTCAAAACTGGTCATAGGAATCCAGGTGTGTCCTTACAAGTCAGTGAGGAATAACAACACTTGACCTACTGGCTACACCCTTCCTGGTACAAAGTAGTTGGCTTTCTGCAGTGTTGAATCATGTTCAGCATGTTCAGTTGTTCAGTCCAACCACCATGTTTTTGCTGCAAAATTGTGTGGCAGTTTCCACCATGAGCTAATTAAGTCCATAACATCATCCTTGTCTACCACCTATAGTACAGAGAGATGGTAATACTTTAACCTTTCTCTGAATCCTGGCTTGATATCTATATTTAGAAGGCTGTGTACATTCATGTTGTTATTCCAGTGCAATCCCTTCATATAATGCCTCCAGATTTTCTACACTCACTCCCAAGAGAAAGCAAAGTGGATTATAAGCAAAGACTTATTAACAAACGCTGATCAGACTAAGCCTATCTTGGTCAGAGTGAGTTTTGAAATCTTTTTGCTTGGCAGATGTGGAAACCTGAGCATAGATCTGTGTTTATGTTGCCTCTGCATGCTACCAGCCCACAGAACAGGGCTGGGTATTCTTTCAGTCCTACTGCAGCCCTTGGTCTTGGTTTCAGCTCTCTGCCATAATTAGGGGATGAGTATACAAAGCTAGCTGTAACTGCTCCCTGGTGTCTAAGTGTTGTGAGTGTTGTTGGTTATGAAGCCAGCACTTTTGACTGCTTCATCTTTAAGTTAGCTTAATGTTAGGAAAAAAAGTAGCCCCAAAGAGTTAACTCAGATCAATGCTGCCAGCAGCTCATTGCCTTTTCTGTGGTACAGAAATGCCTGTCTCCACTGCCAGCTATTCTTGCTTAAGGACATCTGTCAAGTTACATTTTTTGAAGCTCCTTTTAAGCCCAAGGTTATACGTAGCTTTCAAGGATTGTCTCCTTGGAAGGAAGGGGATAGTTATTTTGATTCTCAACCAGTATACACACAATTAAGTTTTCCTGCCTGTAAGAAGGTGCTAATTTTAATTCATAGTGTCGGATGACATTTGGTGTCCTGCTACACCAAAATAGTCCTGACAGTTGGACTAGATGGTCTTAGTGGTCTTTTCCTACCTTAATTACTATGATTCAATCATCCACTAGGATCAGATAAACACTTTCCTTCACTGAATATCATTTTGGTGCAAAAGTGTCTGCCTGGAAGCTAGCATAAAATAAGTACCTGTTTTCCTTGTTCTACTCTGACAGAAAGCCCTGAGCTTTGCATTCAGAAGTGTTTTCATCGCTTTATGCAGTGCAGAAATGAGACTTGTGTCATCTAGTGGTAATGACCGTGCAATTTTCAGATTGCAACCTGTCTGAAGAATTAGTTGCACATCCAAATGGAAAATTTACGTGATCACTTTGCAGCAAAGTCAATTAAAATGTCCATTGCTGCTTTTTTTTCCTCATCATTTATTACAAGCCTTTATTATTTCTGTTGCGATAGCACCCAGAGGCCATTGCAAGGAGTGGGAGCTGTGTTAAGCAACATGCTCCACAAGCACATAGGAAGGCGGGATATTCTGCTTGGAAATCTTGCAACCTTTGTGGAGACAAGCTACAGCAGGTGAGTTTGCAGGTTTCTTTCAGTTTCTCACACCTCCACATTTTGGTAGAGCCGGTCGAAACCACTGTAACATGTTCCAAGAATATTTCTCCAGCTAAATCAGAGCAATACTTGTACTAAACAAAGCTGATGTTTCCTACTTAGCATTGTAAGCAAATTTTTTTTCATTTGTTAGCCTTCCCTACTTGTGGAGACCTGTTTGACTTTTAATTACACTCACCTCAGTGTAGCTATTAATTTGGTCAGATGCTCTTGGCTTCAGACTCTCCACGTGGAATCAAATCACACCAAAGGAGCTAACAGCAATCAGCCTGAAGCTGCCAGTAGTGTTAAATATACGTGTAGTGTGTCAGGTGGTGCTGAATCAAGTCCTTTTATCTTTTCATCTTTGTATCTGCCCTGGTGTATTTGTATGGCTGCTCCACCAACCTGTTCCACTGTGTCCCTGTCTAAACTTAGTAAGTCCTATAGTCACATATTTTCTGCATTTATTTTTAACACGATTACATTCTTGGTGGAGATATTTATTATCTAGTTGCATAAGCTTGGGAATTGAATTCAAAAGATTCAAAGCTTGACCCAAGTTTGCAGCAGACTTGCTGAATTATCTGAGTGGGTCCTAATCCCTCCAGTACAATTTGCTCTTCCTTAACATGGTACCAATTGCATGGCGAAATGTGGTCCAAGATATTAAAAAGCAGGTATGGATCGGGGAGCTGCTGAATATGTGGTAAGGCATCTTAATATTGCAGCAGAATTTGGGGATAACTGATATGTTGCTACAAGCAAATACCTAAAGTGTGTACCTGTGCTAGATACCGTGCATAAACACTAATATACTAACCAATTCAGAAGTTTACCCTATAAATGGCTTTTTAAGGCCCTGGGTTTGCATTAATATCAGGTTACTGTTCCTTGAGTACCATGCTGCCATTTGATGTTTAACTCAGGATTTGTTGTCAAAATAGAGAATATAAGCAGAACCATCACCCAAAGTTCCTGTGGACACTGCCAAATGCAACTGGAGAGGAGGAACAGGAGTCAGGTTCAAGATCCACAGTGGTCTTGAAGATCAGCCTGTTTATCTTTGGGCTTGGAGATATTTTGTAAATTTTAGAAGTTGTCTCAGTAGGATTTGATGGAGAATCATGGGTAGTGAAGGACCTTCAGAAACTGTTCTTGGAGTCCTCAGAAAATGAGTTGTTCTTTTGCTTCTCAACGCCATACAGTCCAGACAATCAGAAGATGAGATTCATGTATCCCTTTTCTGAAGTGATTATAGAAATTTATACATATACATGGACACCAAGTATGTACACATATATATATAAATATATGTATATGTATGTACCCTACAAGAACAGAAATGTGCAGTGCATATAAAACCACAGACATTTTCTGGCCTGTGTTGTATGTTAGTGTCATGCTCTATCCGTATATCTGAGTCAGTGAAACATTTGCTGTGGCAAAAATCTGTTCTGACATAGCTGTGTTCCCAGCTGGCACAGCATAGGTTGCTGTGCTGTTCCCTGCTCGCTGACAAAGCACGGCACTTTGCAGAGTTTGGAGCAGCTCTGGGTGAACGTCAAAAGCAAGACATTATTAAAGCATTAGTCCAGTGAGAATGGCTTGTCAACATAGTCAGAGCAAAATCGTTTAGTTAACAACAGCTTAGATACGTGTCTGAGACTCCGTTTTGCTGGGCAGACAAAGTTGCTAGGCATGGGACTTGTTATTGAGCTCCTGAGAGTTAGCATCTCTTTAAATCACCGAGAAGATACAGCAACAAATTTATTGACACATATATTTTAAGGTCAAGAAGGCTATTATTATCACATAATGTTACTTCTTGGATATTGCATTATTTCATTCACAAAATCGTTGAATCACAGAATGGCCTGGGTTGAAAAGGTGATCAGATGATCATCTGATTTCAACCCCCTGCTCTGTGCAGGGTCACCAACCAGCAGACCAGGCTGCCCAGAGCCACATCCAGCCTGGCCTTGAATGCCTCCAGGGATGGGGCATCCACAGCCTCCTTGGGCAACCTGTTCCAGTGTGTCACCACCCTCTGTGTGAAAAACTTCTTCCTAATATCTAACCTAAACCTTCCCTGTCTCAGTTTAAAACCATTCCCCTTGTCCTGTCCAGGCTGGCCATTTTGGTTAGCATGCTTTGGAAGATGTTGCTTCCTGTATATAACTAGCAAGCCATCAAATATTGTCTCCTCTTCATTCACAAATAAACTTCTGGTTTTGCACAACATATGGGGAAATTAATAGATTAAGCCTTCAGATGCTGCTTTTTCACTCGTGGGCAAGTCACAACCCTTTTCTTTGATATTCTCTGAATAGATAGAGATGCTTTCTTGAAGTGTGACTGTAGGGATTCTTGACATTAAATCAAAATATAGCTCATCAAAACACAAAATTGTACAAATGAGGCAAATGGCCTGGGATGTCAGACACAGACTTTGTAGTGTGGATTTTCCCTTTTACAAGAAGCATAATCCACAGCTTACTATAATAAGTATATTGGCAGGATGTAGACTTTTAACTGAAGGAGATCGGATCAGGATAAGAGTCAGCATTACATTTACGAATAGTAACTGAACCACCAAGACTTGTTTGACTAACTGAATAAAGATATAGTTTTACTCCTTTGTTTCTTGAGTTGCTTTTTTGAAATCTTCCCTTTAGATCTGTCCTAATGGATATTAATGTCAAGAGAAGTCTGTCAGTGATGTCTGGATCTGTGAAACAAACCTTATTTTGTCACGCTAAATTAAATTTTCCTGTTTTTCAAGCCAGAGCATTGGCTTTATTTGTTTTGTGAATGCTATCTCACCCAAAAAGACCTGGAAAATAAATGGAAGTCTAATGAACCAAGTGGAATAGAACAAAGTGGTCTTAACATGAATAGAACATTAATTCTGGTATTCTACAAATAGAAATAACAGAATACAGAAAAATATTGAAATAACAGGTGGCAGATAAATATTGAAGTGGACAGACAAATGTGGTAAGCTGAATAATATAGTCATTTTTATTGAAACAATGGTATGGAAAAATATGTTTTAGCAAAGCAACATTCTTGTTGTAGAGTATCATCAGGCTTATGCTGTGTTACATTTATGTAGGTTTTATTGAATGTGTAGAAGGACAGGTCAAAAGAAACTGGAATTCAGACAAGTATGAAACTAAGATGACATTTGAAAGGACTGAATGCGGAGCTGCTGTGAGAAGGCACAACTCTATTTAGTCCCGTATGTGCAGTATGTTACTCCAGTGCTGGAAAAAAGAGCCATATATATGATCTTTGGTTGGATTGTTAGCACACATTAGCATTTTAACATCAGTGACTCATGGAGCATGGGGTAATGACAGGGGTTCCAAACAACAATAGTATTTTGTGTCTGTTCAGAGTTTGCATTAAGTGAAGGACAAAAAGTTTTTGTGCTGCTTCATTTTATGTACAACAATTCTGAAACTTCCAAGACAACATGAAATTTTATTTACTTACTGATTTCCCAGTAGTCGTTCTGATTGGCTGAATAAAGTGTGAATTATTCCTGCAAATAGATTCTGAGACAAACAGTGATTGTTAAAGTGCATTAAATCTGACCTGCGGCTATTTCATCTGGTGCTCTGATCTTCTCAGCTCTTCTAATCTAAACAAAGGTGGGTGGATCAATAGCAAGGCAATTTTGCTCCAGGGAAAGAATGACATGTGCAAGAAGTGGCATTAGGTCAGGAGGTACGACATTACCTTTTGTAACCCAAGTACCCATCCCTGTACATTGCACAGCAGAGATCATCCTAAATAAAGGGCTCCATATATCTGTGATCTCTGAGGCCATACCACTACCACATCTCCGATGGGATGCCAGTTCTCTTTTACCCACAGGTCTTTCCTTGTGCTCTCCATCCTACAATGGCTAGATATCTGAAACACAGGCACAAAGCTTTATATACTTTTCCTTGGCTCATGTGGAGCTTGTTGCACAACCTCTGTATTCACTTGCAGCTGATAGGAAGTCAGCAGCCCATAATACCTGCACAGATCCCAGATAGAGAGGGCAGCAGGCTAGGTCACTGGATCTCAGTGTGCAGAGCAGCAAACCTAAAGCATTGTGATACTGGCACTGTTGTTTTCTGTGAGATACGTGTATTTATGGCACTTCTTGGAAAGCATTTTGACTCTTTGTCCTGTTTCATTTCTACTTCATGTCCTTAGCCAGTACCTACCTTCTTTCTGTTATCTATGAAGTGGATTTGGTACTCCTTAATTTCTAGTCTAAGTTTATTCTTGCCTACTACTGTGAACAGATGAGCAGCTGCTGCGTTTGTTTGGTGTGTGAATGAACTCATCTATTTCCCTGCCTATCCCAGAAATGCAATTTGGAACTTCCAAAGATGATTGTGTCTGCAGAGCACTTTGAATCCCTCACACAAAAAGCACTACAGCAATGTGAAGAGCTACTGTTGATATCAATAAATCACTTCAACCAGAAAAGGAATGCGGCTTTCCGTTTTAGAACAACAAACAAACCACAGCAGTATTTACTGAGCACTTTAAAGATAACAGTGGTTACATAAACACTAAGAATTATTAAGGTTTCTTTGTGAAAAGGTTAACTGCGTGGTGGTAAACAGTATTGCAGCTTCCAAGCCCATCTACAGCCAAAATAAGCACCTTTTAGTTACAGGGAACTCAAAGCCAAATCCAGCCCTCTCTTCAAAGGCTCCAAGATGAAGCGAATACCAGAAGGTCTTCATGCCTAAAAACCGCAAGCTGGATGAAGAGGGTCTTGGCTGAAGCCAGATTCAACTTCAATCTGAACATGGCAGAGAAATGTTTTCCTGACACTTCTCTACCACTGTTGTACAGCCTGTGGACCTACCTTACCACCCTGCATTAAGGAGAGCCTAGAGGGAGCTACGAGCCTCTGCCTTCAAACTGTGGCAGAACCACATTTTAAATATTCTTTAGATACAAGAAAAGCCTGTTACTACAGCCCAACACTACTCAGAAAAGAAGATCTAGTAAGTGCATCCCATAAGAAGGCCATCAGATACCCATATGGGACGTGTCATCCCAGATGTTCTTCACCTGCTGCATTAGAACATAGGCTGTGGTAGCCAGTCATGGAGGCAGCAGGACCTGGAAAGTCCTGCTGTGAATGGTGGGGAGCATTTTCTCATGGGCAGGCATAGCTCAAGTAGCTCTTCTGTTGAATAGCTGCCCCTTTTAGGGTGAGACTACCTGAACAAGAAAATATGCCTGGCAGAGAGGTTACCTGCAGCCCATCTGATAATAATCGTTGCTCACCCAGAATGGCTGGCTACTGAAGACCCTCCAGTGATTATCCTTCCCCTTCACAACTCTGACAGGGCTTTTCATCTTAAGGATGTGTTTTTTTTCCCATCTGTTTATATGAAGAAACTTTAAGGAGAAATATCAGTGTTGTGGCAAGGCTGCCTGGAGTCCCTGTAGCTTTCTCCAGAACAGTATGTTCACCTTCAGCCCGCTGTGGCCTCCAAATGAACTTGTTAAAGAAGTTAGAGTCCAGCCCTGTAAAATGCTGTGCAACAAACTTTCCCAATAAGGCTCTCAAGATTTCTACCTGCTCAATTTTTTTCAGTCTTTCAGAGGATTGAAACCTGGATACAATCATCGTCCACATGTCTTGCATAATTCTTTGGTTCTGTACCAATTCATCTGTGAAGTTTCAGTGAGGCACATTATTTTAATTTGAAAAATACAGCAGCATGTATTACCTAAGCAATTAGATTTTTTCTGATGTTGCCTTACACTGTTGGAAAACTTAAAGCTTTCCTTTCTAATGCTGAATTAAGAGAAATTTCAGCTGCCAAGCAGCTCTCTTTATCCAACCCTGACTTCTTACCTCACTTACTCACAAAAATAATAACTTTATGATTTGGTAATATATATGGCTAATTTGCTCTACTGTAAACTGCATTTCTTTGTGCAAACTCAGTATTTTTTTTTTCCCTCCAGACACTGAAGCAAAAGTGCAAAAATTGAGCTAAATCCTAGCTAAATCCATTTTTAAAGCAGAGCATACTTTGTGCTTCCTTACATTTTTTCTCTGTCCTCAACATCTTACATAATTTTTCAACAATTTGTCAGAGTCTGAAGACAAGTGAAATGTCTGGACTTATATTCTGGATTAACATTGTATCTCAACTCACTGCAAAATAATCTCTAATGTGTTTGTGGCTAACAAGACTTAGTATGTTTATGTTTTAGTACATACTGCAGAAATGTCTGGGTTTTAATGTAGCAACTTATAGTAATATGGTTATAACAGCTCTTTACAACACCTTAACAATTTGCTCTGCTTTCTGCACACAGGCACCAAGTAGCACGTCTCATTCTAAGCATCTCAGCCACGAAACAAAGGACAAATTTGCTGTTGATAATTCATCTTCCAGGCCCACATTCATTAGTGGGCCTGTTCAAGTGTGGCTACGTGTAACCCTCTCACCAGCTGTTAAAAACACCTGTATGCTGTGAACTTCTTCATTAACTCCCATCACAGAAGAGTGCATTGCATAGTAGTAGTGGATATCAAACCATAGTGTAACATACAGGGAAGGGCATGCAGAATATACGTAGATTACTTGTAGAGCATCTGTACTGTTGTGTCTGACAGCCAAACTTCTGATGTTCTTGATTTGCTCAGAAACTGATCCTGTCCTTTCCTGTGGAAAGGTGGGTATGTATGCTGTAGGGCTGAGGATACCTTCCCACAGCACTGCATACACATTGCAAAATGCTGCATGCTGTCCCACTGTGTCTCTGTTGCTGGACAGAGGGATCAGTCCAGGTGCTACGTCAAGGAGGAAATCACTTTTAGTTATTATTTGTTTGGTATCTTTTGGCATAATTCATAATGCTCCGGATCATTTTACAAAGCTCTATGTAGAAACCAAAATGTTACCAAAGCCCTGGGCTGGCAGGAGGACTTTTCCTGTTGGGATGTTACAGATGGGATGTCCCTCTAGCCTTGTGTGGCACTTGGTGGTACAGAGGAATTGGCAGAGCTAGCACTGCCAGCAAAGGGATTGCAGCAGCACCGTGGGGACCAACTGATTCCAAACAGCTGCAAGACCTGTGTGTCCTTTTGGCACAAGGGCTGAGTGCTCCCAGCCCACAAGTGCACCCCGAGGCACTCATCACTAGGCGTGTGGCCATGCCAGTATGGGAATGTGTCTTTGAAACACTGGGAGCACTTGGGTGTGGGGGGATGCACAGACTGCAGGCGCGGAGGAGCTAACGTCCCTGGTGCATAGGAAAGTCTGTATGCAAACACTGCTCTCAGGCCAAACCCTGCTCTTGTCATCATCCTTCTGAGTTCAGAGATGCCATGTGGAGGGCATGGTGGCTCCCTGGCAAGGGCCTCACATGTTCGCAGTCATATGCTGGAGAGGCTGATCAGTTCTGCAAACTGTTTCAAAAAGCCCTTCTTGGTCAATCTAGGTTTACCATCATGCTAATGTCATCGGGGCTCAACTCTGCCAAAACACATTTGCTACATTAGCTTTTCCTTTGCTTTTCCTTTGTGCGGAGGAGTCGGAGAATACGTTCATTTTTTGTTAGTTCTGCTGGCAATTCATTTGCCTGGAACAAAAAACCTCGAAGTTAGGAAAAATAAGCAATTATTTCCTATACATTCTTTAAAAGCATTCAGTTCTAAAGAACATGGTGCTGAGCTTAACCATTACCTGCTTATTTCAATGTTGTCTCTACCACTGTTGGAGATATCTTAAGAAGTAATCTTTGCATGCAGTGTGCAAGTATCACTCAACTCTTCAGAATAATCTTAGCCTGGGATCTGTCTGGTCAGCTTATTTTGTGCTGCCTGCCCAAACTAAATCGTATCCTTTGAGTTCTCTTTGCTGCAGGCACAA